GAAACCCAGCTCGCTCAACTGAGTGAGAACCCCTCAGTACTCACCACCTGGGTCACTCAACTGAGTGAGAACGTCTCGACACCCACCACCCGGGTCACTGATTTTCGAGGAAAGAGAGGACGGCCATGGTGTGAATTCTGCAGAAAACCTGGCCATCTTCGTGAGAAATGCTGGACTTCATGGAAAACCGAGAAAGAAGAAGCCTATTAGACCAGAAATTCATCACGAAAATCTAACAACCTCTGATGATACATCAAACACTCAACCCGACAGCGCTCCCTTCAGTCCAGAAGAAATGGAGGCCCTCTTAAAGATGTTTTCACAAAAGGGTCTTCTTGGTAATGCTTCAATTGCACAAAAAGGTAATTCCCTACTTAATTTATCTGCCTATTCCACAAAAAGGCAAATGTGGTGTGGATTCAGGGGCATCTAATCATATGACAGGAGATTATTCACTGTTTCACCGATACAGTGAGTGTAAAGAGGTATTTTCTATAAAAATTACTGATGGAACAAGTTCTAGGTGGCAAGAATTGGCTCAATTGATGTATCACCATGTTTGACACTACATTCAGTTCTCTATGTATTCAATTTGGATTGCAATCTGTTATCTGTGAGCAAACTATCTAGGAATCTGAACTGTGTTGTTAAATTTGATACTGATCTTTGTGTATTTCAGGACTTGGCCTCGGGAAATACGATTGGCAATGGTAGGTTGGAGTCAGGACTATACCTTCTACCAGTTAAAACACTTCCTTCAAATGGACAAACTTCAAATGCAGTATGTGTTAATTTAGTTTCTGTAGGATGTTCAAATGATGACCACTTTATCATATTATGCCAATGCCGATTAGGACACTCAAACATTTTGTATTTGAAACAACTGTTTCCTGCTTTATTCAGAAATAAAAATCCGCTCTTATTTCAACGTGAAGTATGTTAATTCTCTAAATATATTATAAATTCTTTTCCAAGTTTGGCATATAAACCCTCAAAGCCTTTTGTATTAATCCATAGTGATGTATGGGAACCATCACAGGTAAATAACATTACTGGTACAAAATGATTTGTATCTTTTATTGATTATCACACTAAAATTACCTGAGTCTTACTTATGAAAGAAAAATCTGAAGTGGGTCAAATATTACAGAAATTCAACACTATGATTCAAAACCACAACAAAATGGTATAACCGAACGAAAAAATAAACATATTCTTGAAGTTGCTCGATCACCTATGTTTATTACACATGTTCCCAAATATTTTTGGAAAAAGGCTACCCTCACCACCACCTACTTGATCAACAGGATATCTTCCTGTATACTCAAACTTAAAACTACCTATGAAACTCTCCTTCAAGCCTTCCCTAAATCTCACGTTCTAAACACAGTCCCATTTAAAGTCTTTGATTGCTCTACTTATGTTCACATCCATGCTCATCTCAGGGGGAAACTAGACCCAAGGACCCTTAAATATGTATTTGTTAGATACTCATCAAATCATAAATGATACAAATATTTTTTCCCAGGTAGCCGTCGGTTTTACACACTATGGATATAACATTTTTTTGAAACCAACCCTTTTATCCCATTCTTGATATTCTGGTGAAGAATTTCACTCAAAATATCATTGTGGGATGTGACACACCTCCTCTACATACCTCTTTGACAAATACACTTTCTCCAACAATTGAACCAGTCCCTGAAACTACAAAAGATTATGAACTTGTCACAGAAACTGATAGCACATTACCTGCAAAGAGTGAGTTACGTGTCTACACTAGAAGGAATAAGACTCAAGATGGTAAAGTATCTGAACCAACTACGCATTGTCATGAATCAACTCTTGGACTAGGCACTCAAAATACAACAGGTAATGAAATCTCTAACTCATCAACTGATATTGATACCGAATTACCTATTGTTTTAGAAAAAGGTGTTCGTTCTTACATCATGCATCCCATACAGGATTATGTCTCATATGATAAACTGTTTTCAACATATCATGCACTTGTGAGTAAACTAGATAGCAACACCATGGAACCAAAAACAATTCATGAAACACTCAAGTTTCCAGAATGGAAAGCTGCAATCCAAGAGGAAATCAAAGCACTTGAAAAGAATGGGACATGAGAGTTAACTGAACTGCCTTCAGGAAAAACCCCAGTAGGATGCAAATAGATCTTCACTACAAAGTAAAATCTAGATGGAAGTGTGAATCGGCACAAAGCCCGCCTTGTTACTAAAGGTTTTACTTAGTCCTATGGGATTAATTATCAGAAAACATTTGCCCCAGTTGCCAAGTACAACACTATCCGGGTACTATTCTCATTAGCCTCAAATATTGATTGGCCTTTTTATCAACTTGATGTAAATAATGTTTTTCTCAATGGCGACCTAGAAGAAGAGGCGTATATGGAAGTTCCACCAGATCTTGAAATGAACCCGCAAAAAGTGTATAAACTAAAAAAGACACTTTATACTCTCAAGTAGTTCAATCTACTGAAGAACACATAAGTGCAGTATACCGGATTTTCTGAGATACCTAAAAATGATACCAGGATAAGGATTATTCTTTCAAAGAATAATGAACAGGGACATTGAAATTTTTACTAATGCAGACTGGGCAAGATCAGTAACTGATAGGAGATCCACATCTGGTTATTGTACATATGTATGGGGCAATCTACTCACTTGGTGTAGCAAGAAACAATCTGTTGTATCAAGAAGCAGTGCTGAAGCTGAATTACGATCACTTGCTCATGGGATACGTGAAGGAGTATGGCTGAAAAATATACTACTTGAATTAAGATTCTCAGTTCCTATCCCTATGAAACTCTGGTGTGATAATCAATCAACCATTAGCATGACAAAAAATATTGTGTACCATGACAGAACCAAGCATGTTGAGATTGATCGACACTTCATCAGAGAGAAAATTGAAGACCAGGCCATAACACTACTATATGTTCCAACCAGTCAACAAACTGCAGATATACTCACAAAGGCACTACCAAAAGAGATGTTTAATAATATGGTATCCAATCTTGGATTACTCAATATTTATGTAACATAAATTGAGTGTAGAAAATCATGAAAGGGTAGTTTAGTAATTTTGTGTGAATTTGTTGTGGCCAGGTGGGGATGTCCGCTACCACAATATTCCTTTTTCTTCATTCTGTTAGGATATTTTTCAGGTATCAGGTGCCTATATAATGGCACCCTTCTTATTCTTCTCCTCTCAAAAATCTTCACCTTCTTTCCCTAAAATCTTCAGGAGGAAATGGATGCCTATTGAAATCTACAGTAGAGGAGAAGGGAGTGAGAGAGACTTGCTTTGGAAGGATTAGAAGAAAATAAACAAAAATGAAAGTCCCGTGGGTGGTAAGTGGGGATTTTAATATGGTCTTACATAAACATGAAAGGAATAGGGAAACTTCTCGAGGCTTGTGCTAATGAATATAAGGGATAATTGATAGGCATGGTTTAATGGATTTACCTTTTACAGGAGGCAAATGAACCTGAACTAATCAGAGACTAGATCCAACATGCTCACAAATTGATAGGTTCTTGGTATTAGTTTTTTGCCAATTTCAAAATTCAGGTATTTGTCAAAATCTTTTTCAATTGGCCATATCTGTGACATCTCAGGTGCCAGATAAGACAATTGGGTGCTAAATACAGATTTAGAATAGGTGTTATAACCATAGATTTTCAAATCGAAATGGGTGTTTGGCCCCAACATACACGTTAGGATTCTAGAATAATGGAAAAAAGGTCTGACATAGGACGTGGAAGCAGCTCCTA